AAACTCCCACGGACTTCAATGGGAGACGAGTTAGGCTGACACTGTATGCTTGTGAAAATCTTACCTCTATTAATTACCGTATGGTACTGTATACTGAGGAGGTATTGTTGAATATGAATGCAGTGAAAAGCGTATTTATATCCGCACGTTACACACTTAAAGGAGGTGGAGGGTAAAAGTGGACAATGGCGTGTATATTGTTTTCAGAACAGCCCAGCATCTCCCTTCTTCAAAACTAAATAAATAAATAAAGAGTGGGGCACAAAGCTGAGAAGTGCAGAACTTTTGAGTGTATGCATACAGGATAAACTGTTGAAAGGGCAGGCCAATGATCTAGTGGCAGCACAGTGCAGGGAATCAGAGTCCATGTCACAAGCTTGGTCTTTTGCTCACTGGACAAGAAATACTATGGAGGCAACTCTCTCAGACCTTGGGAAGAGCGAGCACCTAATACAGTAGTGCTTTTGAGCAATTTCCACTGACCTCCATGGTATGGACAATACAGAGGCCACGTTTTAGCAAACCATTGAAGCAAGTACATAAATCCATTCCTATTCAGCAAAGCACCTAAGCATGTGCTTACTTTCAACCTGTGCTTTAAGTCCTGTTGAAGACAAGGGAACTTAAACACATGCTTAAAGTTATGCAAATGCTTAAGTCTTTTGCTGAATGGGAGGGACCTTTGAGTGGTTTTGATGAGCTTTAGAGAAAGCAGCCCAGCCCTCCATATCCAAAGAAAGGGTTGTTGTGATACAAGACTCAAGGATGAGGTGGAAATCAGGGGGGACTTCCTGAAGGAGCCTTCTTCACATCCACCCACCCCACTCTCCTGCCACTTTATCCTTTTCTACATCTAAATTGATTAACAGGCAAAGAAACCACTGTGTTAAATAGAGTTGCAGAGTGTAATAAAAGCCAGAAAGAATGGGACTAATAAAAATAAAAACAATCTGTAGTCCTGCCATTTGGAAGAAACAGAAAATAAACAGAAAGAAGCTAAAATCATACTTTGACATTGAAGTACAAAGAATATTACAACCAACTGCAGTGGATTCTTCGAAGGCATTTACAATAGACAAAAAGTACAAGAACTGTGCTCCACTAGAAATTACAGTATAGAACTGGAGACAAGGATAACAAGATGGCAGGATACTTACACACTTAGTTTGCTTCGATATTCCTAGAGGAAGGACCTGATTCAGGAATGCATTTAAACTCATGCTTCTGTCTCATTGCCTTAAATGAGTCTTCAGTATACACTTAAAGTTAAGCATATGTTTAAGTGCCATTCCGGAATAGGAATGCTTTCCTGAATCAGGGCTGAGGACAAGAATGGAGAATCCCTTGAAGAGGGGTGAATTTGCTGATGCAGGCTAAAAGCAAGACTAAACATAGGCATAATTTTAGACGAATAGTCTCATTAATTTCAAAGGGACTATTTATGTGTTTAAAGTTAGCAACCTGCTTAAGTACCTTGCTGAATCTGAGCCATGTAGAAGAGGGAAGGGTCTAGATAGTATGCAGATTAGGATTTAAATATTTATGGAAAAATTAGTCACTCTGTGAGCCTGCCAGTACAATTCAATATTTTCCTCTAAGTATCCTTATTGTCAACACTATAACTTCATGGTAAAATTTTGCTCACAGGTCTAATGTGACTCTGAAATTCAGACTGACCCATTTCCAGTCCCAGATAACATTCAAGAAAAAATCATGAGTTTTAATGAGATGAGGATAGAAATTTGCAATGATTTTAGCTTACTTTTATTTTTTTGTAATTGTTTGATGGTATGTGAAATAAGTAAGGACTTGAAGTAGCTTTATTCAAACAGCAAGCTGCTACCAACTGATTAATTTCATTTTTAAGGAGAGTATTGGAAGCAATGTTGTGGATTTTGGTATGGGAACACCTTGAAAAACATAATTCTACTGGCAACAGAAAACATGGATTTATGACAGGGGAGTCTTGCTTGAATAATTTTTTGGAACACTTTAGATTACTACCATGGTAAGCAATGGAAATGCAGCAAATTACAGCGTAGAAGAACCAGCATGTAAAATCGGAACCTACTAGAAACTTTATCCTAATTTCAAAATGACCCTTGTTTGAAATTTTAAAAAGTTCAGATAATTTGTTTCTCTCTTTCTCTCTCAGGTAATTCTATAGTGCCAATTGCTAAATTATCGAGGCACCATACTATTTTCCCCTATTATTTTTCATTTTCTTCTATTTCTACGCTTTCTGGGTCTGGCTTGACCAGAGTCAGTACGTACCAGTAATCTAACAAGAATGAGTTCTTACGAAGTTTTCCTCAGTCTAGTTTTCCAAACTTAAAGAGGTTTGACACAAATTGATAAAGTTTAGATGAACATTCAAACTTTTGGAGCTGAATTGAAGAGCCGTTAGATAACAATAAATCAGTTACCAAGGCCCAGAAAGAAGGCTATGTCTACACTACAGCCTAAGTCAACATAACTTATGTTTCTCAGGGGTGTGAAAAAACTACCCCCTGCACTGAGTGACATAAGTTACACCGACATAAGCACTTGTTTGCACAGCGCTATGTCAGCGTGAAA